GCTTGCCTGTGACTCTGTCAGACCTGGGCGGTGTGTGCAATCCCTTTGTCATGACTTCCATTAGTACACAGTTGCCATGACAACTGGCTCTTATGAAAGCTCTCCACGGTTTCCAAGGATGGATGTTCTATTAGCTCTTTTGAGATTTAAACGAAGCTTTTTGGTGCAGACTGACTCACACGTCAGTGCTGCCCTAGATTAGTTTAAGCAGCAGAACGCTTTGTGATTCACACCTGTTGGCTATTTCAGATGGTCTGTTTTGGCAGTGTAATGTCAGGAGAGTTTTAATGCTGAGTGACAAGTACAAAATAGACTAGAACAGGAGTTAACGGAACATTCCAGGTTCAGTACAAGTTAAGGCATTTGTGGCATAATGTGATTACCATATAAAATACTTTTGAATACTTTCATCCTTTGTTTTCTTTTTTAAAAATCTAGGGCACTTATAACTTTAGTTTTATTATGTTGTCATAGCGAAAAGCATTTTTTCACAGTAAAAATTAATGCATATTTTTTACATAATGCTGTACTATTGAAACAGAGAGTATTTTAACATTTACTAACTGGCACCATTAACTTTCATTGTTAATGGGGCCAATCTGTCAAGTTCCTCAAAGTAACCCAGATTTTTGCTTTTTGAGGTTCAAGCTAAAATGTATTTTGTCTTAAATATCTTCTGCAGACCACAAAAGAATATATTTTGAGAAATGTCTGTTTTTTTTGTTGCTATTTTGTCCATACAATGGAAGTCAATGGTAACCAAAACAGTTTGGTTACCAACATGTGGTTACCAAAATATCTTATTGTATTGTACTACAACAGTTGCACAAATAAATATGGTTATTTGGATGTCCATGAAACACTTACTGTGATGAAATTGTTTCAGAGTAATTGTGCCGGAACCCAATCCTTCGAGCATGAAAACCTATTCCATTCTTTTTTATAGGTTTAGCTGAAATAAGCAATTGAAATATTTGCGCGGAGAGCTGACGGTTAATAGGCACTTCACTGCTTCCTGCTTCGTTTGTGAAAGTTTATTTCTATTCAGCACTCTTTATTGATGTCTGTTGTCGGTTTGTTTTATTTATAACTTTAATCTTTTATCTATTCTTATGGTTCTTTTATTATTCTGTGATGATGACCAAACACTTTAAACTCCCATAATGAACTTATTTTGGGCCTTAAAACAATCTCATTTACAAACAACCTTGAGGATGAAGTGACATTCTCAACAAAATTGACAGAAGAGGGGCAGCAACTGTCAAACCAATGGATAAATGCATACCCCAATAAATAAACCATCTGATTTCATGGGGCATATATCCTGCAGTTGCTCCAGGTACAGGTGGTTTCTATGTTAGTTATATTAAGCCTTGTTTCACATGCCACTTCTTTTATAGACTACCGCTGGCAATGAAAGGTGATTCGTGGACTCGCAGTGTATGAAGTTGTTGCTTTAGGAGTTTAAGGGATATAAATCACCTTTTAAGACGCGCTGCAGACGACCCTCTCAATGACGATGTTTGATGTTGTAAGGATGAAGAGGTGCAGGAGTGGAGGCGGGCTCATGTGGGAAGTAGACTTTAAAAAGGGTGAACATTGCTTTGCTCTGCTGAGCACAGCTGCGGCACATCGAGCGCAGTCTGCTTGAAGGAGAGCGAGAGGAAGGAGGAGAGGAAAGGGGTGATTTTTCAGCAAATGTGAGGACAAATCTCTTAACGCAGCCCCAGGGCTTTTGTGGGGTTATTCAAAGGTTATGAATAAACAGTCTCTTCTCAATTCAACTCGTTAATTGTGACTAAAAGAGAGGGTTGCTATTATTCAGTTGGACCAGCTGTCCACAAAGCAGATTATATTGCTGGGGTTTTTGCTTGTACATGAGAAGCATGTACCAGGATGATAAATGTGGAGTGATTTGTGTCAGTGTGAAGGTGCAAGCTCAAGATTTTCAGTGAATAAAGCTAAACAATCACATTCAGTGCTCAACAGATTAGAGAGTCCATCACCTTATTCACTCTGCCATCTCGTCTCCCTCTACTGGCTATGCTTTCACATAGATGGTTCCCAAGGGCTTCACCCACACCTGTCATTTGAAGACCAAAGGCATGTTGTGCTAATTGATTCTGTTTCATAAACAGTAAATTATACCCTTGATATGGGGATGGTGAAGAGGATCTCAGTACAGATGATGCACCAGCTGAGTAACAACAAACAAATTATACTCCCCCAACACACACACACACAACAATGGCTCAACTAGACAGTTTTCTCAGATTTAGGCTTTCAATATCAGAAGTTGAAAGGGCTTTGAATCATAAAGGGCAATGGTACCAAGAAATATTTAACTTGCAATGAAAAAGACTTTAGCGTAAATCCGTAAATCCTGTCCACGTGTTCTATGCATTATTTCTGGAAAATGTTTTGTGGCGCTTGTGCATCGTTTAGCACAGAGACCCTTACATTTGTGTATCTCTGGGTCCATCTGGTGGTAAGAATAGAAAAATACTTTTTGTGAATCAATCTAGAATATAGAAAGAACCATTCTAGAATTATACATTGAACAGTTATATAATATATATATATATATATATATATATATATATATATATATTATTCTATATTGTATA